CGGCTCATGGCTGAAGCTTGAAAGTTTCACTGAAGTGAAAAATAAATAAATTAATCAATTAATAAAATCACTGAATGTGTTGTGTGAACAATCCTGGAACAAGAAATGTAAGTTAACTTTGAACTGTAAGTAAAAAACATTTAAGCAGTTCTAATATTAATCAACATTTTTCAGTAAAAACATTTACTGTCTGCCTTTACTTTTCATTTTTTCTGTAAATCCTGGTCTTTTCAAAGTTATCAATAAACTCACGGATCTAATCAGGACTAAACTGATCAGATTCTAGCAGCTTTCTGTGAGTGGCCATGTTGGAACGATGCATCAAAGATGAACCTGCTGAGTAACAGAAGAGCCACGGGCTCAGAATCTGCTGAGTCAGTGGTTGCCATGGAGATTCCCACCTTTTTTGTCATTGGGGGATGGGCAGTACACCTTCACTCTTCAGACCCAACTACAAACTGAACTTTAAGCAAACAGTTGCTGTGTGAAAAATAAGTGTTGTTAAAAAAAATCCCAAACCATGAATAACATAAACTTGTTTTTTATTCAATCACATTTTTATTTATGCCTATACCATTTTATTTATCAAATTTCCTTGTAATCAAATGATGTTTTGAACTAAAACTCAGAACTCATTATTCCTGACTGAGCTTATTATGATGTTTAATTTAATTTTTTTCCAAAGATATGTGAGAAGTAGTCAAATAATAACCAATAAACTACAGTGAGTTCTCAAAACATGTTATTTTGAAGTTATACGTAACTAAACTAATGAATTGATGTTTTGAACCACGTTGGCTGTCTCTGCCTGGGAGAAGTCGACCGGGGAGAGGATAGCCTCCAGAAACCATATTATCACCAGAAAACTGGTTGGTCCACTAAAGGAATTCACTGCTTGGTGGGGAAAACAGTTTGTTTGTGACTCCTCAGACTGATGAAGCCCTTCGGATGGAGGAAGAAACGTCTTAACAAAAAAAAGAAACTGTCCAGGTGACCTGACTGAACATTATTAGAGTTTTGACCTGGTTTATTGAGCATGGACTTTGATAAACTAACGAAAGTTTGTTTTAGCTTACTTAAAATTGTAAATAACATTTTTAACAATATTTATTTTAAAAATGTTGCCTATGAAATACTTTATAAATAAATATGCCTGAGCAAAAACTGACATTATTAGGATGAATTACTTTTAAAAAAATGAATGAATTTTACAGTAGTAAACATTTTAGACTCCACATATTGAACACTAGTTTATTTTAACATGCTTAATTCAAACTTAGATTTAGTCTTTTTTTCATAAAATTACTTCTTCTGAATGACTTATTCTAGATTTTTTAAACTCCGAGTTAAAGCCCGTTTTTAGTAAATAAACTTGCTGCTCATTCAGTTTTAATCCTGATAAGTCAAACTCCAAAATAAAATAAAATACCAGTAATTAAAGTTTTTTCACAATTTTCTAATTATATCAAATACAATAAATTAAACTGCAAATTTACATCTCAAAAATTAAAAATGATCAAATAAAAACCTAATATTTTTACCTAATGCTCCATTTTTTCACTAATGGGTTTAGTCATCAAATATAAATTGTAATTTAAGAATAGTTTTTCCACTATTTAAGTAATAATAGTTTTTATATAATAACTATCAAAATTTAAAAAAG